TTTTGCTGTCGTCCGGTTCAATACCACACCTAACCCAGCCGGGCCTTTTGTGGTTCGCCACTCCAAGTCCCGGGCCTTAGGTCACTGGTCTCCATCACCGAACAGCAGTTCCTTGTGACTATGGGAGTTACCCCAGCCTCCGTTCATCACACAAAAAGTGTGTAATTAAAAAACAAGTGATGGTGAGTATCGGCAACCTTCCGAATGCGTTTCTTTGCATATCAAATTCCCATCAGTGTGTCGTTGATCGAACAATTTGCCTTTCGCTACCATCGATTTCTCCACCAGTAACTGAACAACAATGATTCTCGGCGATCTGCTAAAGCCGGTAATTGTTTATACCAGCATGGGTCATGAGGCTTGGAAATTTACCTCAATGTCCGGCTTTTTCTCCAACCCCCCTCTTTTTCTGAACGTTTTTAGGTCAAAGATTTTTTACACATCAAAGAAAAGTTCAATAATGAGTGGTGGATCGGTCGCCTGGTCAAAGAAGGTTCCGAGATCGGATTTATTCCATCCCCGGCCAAACTGGAAGCAATGCAAAGTTTTGGCATGCGGGCTTTGAGGTTAGTGCTCTATTTCTCTCCCTCCCCCCTCGCTCACTTTTCTCCCAAATCCCTTGGTCACTCACTCACTCAGTTGTGTGATACGTGCCCCAAGATCTGTTATTGATCAGCACACTGCTCGTTGCTGTTTCCGGATCGTGAACTTGTGATGCCTGATTGTCGTTGTTCTCTTGCTCGAATCGAGCCCCAAACCGGTTTTATTTAGAACTGATAGAATCTAACGGATGGAGTCGTTTTACGCGTTTACGCATCCACATTACGAGTATGGTAGAAAAGTATTGTGTTGNTTGTGTTGTAGTATTCATTTCGTATGCGGTTTGTGAACTGAATAATGAAAAATGCCTAATAAGTAACTGAACGCCCATGTACATGCATTGTGTATTAATATTTGCACTTTTCTAAGACAGTGTTGCTCCTAGAAAAATACACCACTGGACCAGTTAAGGCAAAGAAGAAAGCTAGACTTGCAAGGTAACAGAATCCGCAGTCCTTTGGGGGCCGATTTCCAGTTCATCCGATCCTACCCCCTTCGGACGGAGTCAAACGTTCAAGGTGCCCAATCGAGCCGGTGACCACTGCCACAATCGGAAAGGTGTGATTGTGATTCGTACGTCTCTCCTTGGTTGGTTTGGAATCATTATTATCTCCTAGATGAACTGCAAATAATGGTTCACCAACCCAGTTATAGCCCCGGATGTCGGCTTTTCGTCCTCTCACTTTGGTGGGAAAATACCTCCACCACGGGGAGGTAGTAAGTAGGGCTTCCTCAGCAGAATTGGCTATTTGAGACGCTTAGTCGTGTATAGGAGCATTTCACGAGATGTCAGGGAATGGTGGCCAGTAACAATGCGGCACACCCACCCCGACCATATCCAGGCTTTCGGAGGACCCCGTAACTGGATGATTGAAGACACTGAAGGTCATGGCTGCGAACCGACACCAATGGCCATCTTGCTTTCACTTCTTAGCAGGTCGGAATGCTTGAAATAGTATGCATGCACAGTTGGACTGTGCTCTCTCTGTGTTGACCCTAGAGGTTCGCTTTCTTTTCCCGTTCCTAAAAATAAGCCCGATTCCTGTCCTCCTTACACGTTCTCCCTTACCTTGTATACATTGAGAGTTTGGCAGCGATCAGTGAAGTTCGCTTCACTGTATTACGCTGTGCGTTGATGGTGAATGATAGGCACCTGGGATGTTTGACCCCGTCCAAAGGGCGTATAATCCAGTGAACTGGACACGGG